AGCAGCCATGTCCCACCCTCTGGTCCTGTCACCCAGCCCTGACATCTGCCACCCATGGGTGCTTCCCCGTGGGGTGTCAGGGCATTGCCTGTGCCCAGGGTGCAGGGTGTGTGGTACAGGGTGCCCACTGCAGGGTGCTTTCCGTGCAGGGCACCCACAGTGCGGGGTGCTCTCTGCAAGGTCCCCGTGGTGCAGGATGTACGCGTGGTGCAGGGTGCCCACAGTGTGGCGTGTGTGTGGCACTGCAGGGTGCTGGTAGTGCAGGTGCCTGGGGTGCACGGTGCGTGCGCAGGGGCTTGGTAGTACCAGGGGCACACAGAGCAGGCTGCCGGTGCCGCAGGGTGCCCAGGGGACTGGCTTTGCTCCGGGCTCGCTGCGAGGCTCCGGACACCACCGCCTTGCTGGCTTCCTGCTGCAGCAGAGCAGGCGGGCCGGGAAGCGGGGGAGAAACCACCCGCCGCCTGGCTGGCTTCCTGCTGCAGCAGAGCAGGCGTGCCGGCAGGCGAGCGAGAAACCACAGCATCCTTCTCTGCCTCGGCTGGGCACTGAGCAGGCTGAGATTGCTTTCGAGAGCACCCGGTGCCTAGCCGGTCCTCGCTGGCACAGTGACACCCACAGCTCAAGAGTGAGGGTGGATGCGGGAAATGGGTGCTGCTGGGCTCTGCTGGGAAGTGGCAGAGCAGAGGGTGTGGTTTCCGTCCCCGCTGCGGGTTTTTTCACAAGCTCGGCTCCTCCACCCCTGCCACCACCAAGGGGCCTCTGCCTCCAGGGCTTCACCACTCAGCAGAAGGTGCTGGGGGGTGGCATGGGGCGACCACAGGGGAAGGCTGGGGAACTCTGAGCCCCTGCCCAGCCCCCACGCCGCAGGCAGCGCCTCTGCAGCACCGTGTCATTTATTTCCGAAGCACCCTCTTGTCCTGCCAGCACCCTGGCAAGGTAGGTCAGTGTCAGGTCTGGGCAGGGGGTTAGTCCTGTTTTGCAAGAAACAACTCGCGCAGAGTTGCTCAAGGTCCCAGTGTGGCAACAGCGGGGCTGGGAGGAGAGGTCTGGGTTCCCGCATCCCTCCCTGCCCCACGTCCTGGTCTGCAGGAGGGTGCCCCACGCTTCCCCCACCCCAGTATTCTCTGCCTAGATGTGTTCCCGATGGTCCCAGCACACCAGCCCCATGCTAGGTGTTGAACCAGCTCTCCAGGTTGGGATAGACTCGGCCGTGGGGCAGGCTGGGGTAGGCAGTGCAGATGGTGCAGATACGCTCCCTCCAGTCGGCATAGAGCTTCACGCTATACCTCTTCTGCCAGGTGAAGAACTGCTGGTAGCGGCTGGAGTTCATGGTCTTCAGGAAGGTGGCCAGCTCTGCTAGGGAGCCAAAGTCATCGACGTGAATGAAGGAGTCTGCAGGAACAAACTGCTCGTAGTTGGCCCGGGGAGGCCCCAGCACCACGGGCACAGTGCCAGCCATCAGCGAGTTCCTCCAGAGCTTCTCGGTGATGTAGTCCTGGTGGATGGAGTTCTCAAAGGCTAGGTAGAACTTGGACTTGGATGTCGTTGGCAACAGGCAGTCCTTGCAAAGTGGCTTTCCGTTTGCTTTCCCATATATGTTCACATGGAGGTACCTGGAGAGGTTTCTGTAGACTTCAGCTCTCTTCTGAGTCCTGTGGTAGTTGCTGATAACCCAGGACACCAAGTTGGTCTTCGCAGGGATGTTCACAGTGGCTGACTGGTTGGGCACAAGCTTGCCATAGGGGATGAAGATGTCCGAGTCCCGTCTATAGGTCATCACCCAGTTGAAGGTCTGGTTCCATCCCGTTAGAGCTTTAGTGTTGGAAGGGGACTCCAGGGAGACCCACACCCAGTTCTGCCCTGGCGGCCTCTCCTTGGGCAGCTTGTCCCTGCTGGGCTGTAGCCTGGCATGGGGGAACACCACCACGTCTGCCTG